GTGCTATGTAAAATTGATCCCGAAAAGTATGTATCACACACGGGAAAAAAGGCATCTGCGCATACCTGAAACTGGTATTCCATAAGAAGAGAAGATATAAGTGTAAGGCCGATGCCGCCTGCTTAAATATTTGTGTATATACAGAATGAAAAACGTCAAAGTGAAATACGTTACAGTAAAAAATTTGTAAAAATAAGTGATTGATCAATTGTATACCTACATTAGAGTACAATAATGCCTAAAACGAGATGCTAGATTGGTTGCGTTCAGAAAACATAGCTGATCAGTGAGCGGTCAGTGATTATTGGTCCATTTCTGTTAGATCCCTAACTTTAGGCCAATTACGTTGACTAATTATTCAACCGTTGTGTAACCGTTGTGTCTCCTGAACGCACCCATTGTGAATGTTGGACCACCAGATAGGCGCATGCGCGAGGTTTCTGTACATATTTTTCGGAGTTATGTATTGAGTCGGAGTTAGAGAGAGCAGTCTAGTAGTATATAGAAGTCTGTGGTTGCACCCGTACTCACTCCGGGTTCGCGCGCTCGTCCGGAATAGAGCGGGCGACGAGAGAGAGAGAGAGAGAGAGAGAAGCGAAACGTGCCAGCGAAAAAGCGGCGAATGTATACCGCGAGTAAATCTCGTTACGACGAACACCTTCGTCGTCGTTATAACCAATTATCCTTGGCGCTCGGATCCCCTTTCAAACCAGATGACGGATGAGGGATCCTCGAGGCTGCAGCTGGAAGAGACGCCTCTTCTTCTCTCCCTCTTCTCGCCGCGCTATCTACTTAAGTCGATGAATTAGCGATCGCACGCGATCAGATAGAGCTGGAGAGATATTTAATTAACTCTACAACATTTTGGATCATGTTAGTCTCGTGGGATCCGTCGCCGTAGGTTATTTCACTCGTTTAATAACATCTACATATATAATTGTATCTATTCCACAGGGAGAAAGCAGTAAGGAAGAGAGAGAGGAGGAGGAGGAGCAGGAGGAGGAGGAGAAAAAGAGAAGGAGGAGGAGAAGGGAGGGAGGGGGTAGTGGTTCACGTTTGCTTTCGGCTGCGACGTTTCTCGAAGAGATAATCGCTGGCACGGCGACGGCGACATTGTTGTGGGAGAGGCAAGAAACGCGAGGTATGTTAGGCACTATCGTCGATGTGGCAAGAGCCGACGGGCGACGTACGTATGTACGCACCAACGAACGAACGTACGGTTTGTCCGGTTTTCGAGACAAAGAGTTCGTCGAACCCTGGCGGCCGGTGGGTTCGATCAGCGCGGCTACCGAACATGCCGCGTACGTATGCGCGAACTACTGTCGTCGTCGTCGTCGTCGTCGTCGTTGTCATCGTCGTCGTCGAACTGTGACGTGCGACGCGTGCACCCACGTGCGATTTAATGTGCGTGTCTTCTCGCGCGTGTCACGCCAGGAGAGCGCGAGATTTTTCGGTCGTCCTGGCGGCACTGAACCTACTAAATTTTCAGAACGTCTCCTAGATTTCTATATTCGTGAATAATGAGATTTTTCGAAAAAAAAAATTGCGGAAAATATCATCCAAACTACGGAGGAAATTTTGAAAGTTACTATAGGATTTTGCTACCGACGAGTAGTGGGTCGACATTCTGTAATAATTCTCTGTCTTTTCATTTCATATGT